AAGAGACGTGCGAAGCGTCCGCCGAAAACGGACATTTGGACTGTTTGCGCTATGCACACAATAATGGATGTATATGGAACGAATCAATTATTAAAATTGCGGTAAAGAATGGTCATGTGGAATGTTTAAAATACGCCCACGAAGCCGGTCTCCTTACTGACAACGTGATAGATATAGCGATCCGATACGGCAAATTGGAATGTCTGCGCTATACACACGATATTGGTATCATGTCGTCGTGGTCATTAAATGCTAAAATGTATAAACCGAATGCCACGAGTGTAGTACTCTCGTACTACACTTGTACACTTAATTATTTAATGACGAAGTCCGACGTCTAGCTGCTGGGCTTGATTGTAGAAATAGTATAAAATAAAAGGTTTGCAAGAACAAAACTGATAATATAATTATTAAATTATATGTATATTTAAACAATAAGTTAACAAAAATAAAGTTTGAAGACAGAGGTTACTCTGCCTGAGAACTACGTGCAGTTAAGCTAAAGGTAAAAATAATTCTAACTAAATGACTACTTAGTTACTATATTTATATAAAAGTATGCCCGTGGCGTGATCTCTATAGAGCCACGGGATTGGCTTACATGCTTAGAAGTGCCTAGAAGTTTTACACGATAAAAACGTAAAAATAGTTAATTTAGTAATTTACATAAATATGGAATCCGCATAACAGGATCAATGCCAATAGGTTAAAAAAAACAAGTACGAAGTACAATGATTTACTCCGCGTCATGGAAATACTATCAATTTATACATAATTAAAGTAAACCGTGCGTTTACGTAATACGGTTTACTACAACGTTGACCAATAATCTCGATAACTAGGTAATTTTTTCATAGCCATAACCATATTTATTCCAAAAAATATTTTTATTTCTTCAACAGATGTAGGTTTATATGGTTTATTTTGCTGAGTAGCATATAAGTTTGTTTGAAAAACAATTAATTCAAATAAATCTTCTGGAAAAAGTTTTAAAAATATTTTCAAAGGAGTAATATCAACCATTTCTTTTATTTCATTACAAACACCTGATTGCGAATCATCAAACATTATATCTGGTAAAGTAAAATTATATTCTGTAGACCAAGTTGGAACACCTATAGAATTTATTGGACGTATAAGTACAGATTTATTTAGAACATTTGTTTGTGAATAAGTTGAAATAGTTGATGTAGCATTGCTAAATTGATCTAGTTCGTCAAAATTTGTATTTAATTTACGTCTTTTGATTAGTGAAGTGGAATTTAAGTTTGAAGAAGTAGAAGGAGCGAAATCAATTTCATTTTCGTCTAAATAATAATCATCATTGTCAGAATACAAATTGAAATCTGGGTCTTTATCGTAATCATCATGATCTTCATCAGAACTCTCTAAATCAGACCCAGAAGGTATATCATCAAATATTAAACATTTTTCAATTTCTTTTTTACTTAAACTTCTAGTATGTCGCAACATTTCTAAAAAATTAATAACATTTGTTCCTATACAATTTACGTAATTTAAAAATTATAATAAACTTAAGTATATTATAACTTACCGAAGTCTAGAAGAGTGAAATAAAGTTAAAAAAAAAATTAAATTTATAGTTACGTATAATTATATAAATGCAGACAATAACTGCGTGGTGGTTATTGCAGTTGACCACCGAAAATGACGATATTACACACGATGTAAAGCAATTAAGTCGATTAGACTGAAAGATAGACTACTAAGAAAGGGAAATAAAGATAATCATAATACACAGATAACATAATAATGAATAACCTGGGAAAACCAACACAAATTAAAATCGACCAATATATTTTTAGAAAATTCAACATAACTAAAATGTGTTTAATATTGATAAATCATAAATCCCATGCCATCTCGTGGTATATGAACTAATCAGCTATGGTG